CTGCGCGCCCGCCGCCGCGGCCGGCCAGGAAGGTGAGCGCCCCCGGCGTCCCGAGTCAGCCGGCTCGGGGTCCTCGCAGCTCAGCGACACGGGAGAAGGCCTTACTCCCCAGGGTTTACCTCCCGGCTGGCCTCTCCTCCTGGGAGGTGACAGTAAAGACGGTTGAGACCTACTGGTCTGGCCCTCTCTGCTGTTGGAATCTCAGGTGGCATTTGGGCCCTCGCCTCGGTCCTCATTGTCTTTCTCCTCTGCACATCTGCGGTGTGCTGCGTGCTTCCCCCCTCCCCCTTGGATTTCGGGGTGCCTCTGTCCATGCGTTAGCACCCCTACTGGGCTGTGCAGATCTTCAGAGCAGAAAATGCGTCTTGGAGAAACGCGAATTGCATGCAGCCCTGCCACATGTTGTCGCATGGGCCAGAGGGGGTGTGGTGAATAACACACGAAGACCCTTGACCTGTCAGGCTGCTGGTTAAACAGTTTGGATGTCAGGACTTCTAGAATTAAACCGCCCTTGTGAAATACTAAGTGAACTTTAAAAGTGACATTATTTCCCCTAACATGCAAATTGTTACACTTGTAGATTGCTCCAGAGTTCTCCCCGTGGAGGAAACGCTTTTAAAGCGCTGCTTCCTCACGGAGGAAGCGGTTTCTTAGCCCTGTCTGGCACATGCTGTGCATGCAAAGGAGGGGATGGCAGTGTCCTGGCGGCCTGTCCCACTTGGCAGTGGTGGCTAAACCACCTCGCCTGTCTGTGGGACGTCAACTCTGCTGGTTCGTGCGGCCTCAGAGACAAGTCCATGTTAAGCCTCTCATTTTGTATGAATTTCAAATTAAGGATTCCGTGTGGTGACAATACTCCATCAAGGATAGCTTGATGCCAATTGATCTGGTACGGATAGCAAATTAAAAAAAAATTGCTTTCAACACTCCAGTGACTTTTATAAAAATTGTGATGAAATATTAAGTTTTGCTGCCTTTTGATTAAAAGCGTCCATTTTCCTCTCAGCACTTGGAGTGGACGTGAGTCAGAACTTGGGGTGAGAAGCGCGCGGCGAGGAACGTCTGTCTTAGATCATTGTCATTTCTCCTCTTCCACCCACACCGTTTTGGTTCATGGGAGGGATGTGGATTTAAAAAATACCATCTTGCTATCTTCTTTTGGCTTTTTAATTCTTCTAATGACAACCTAGCGCTTAAGGCTTTAGCTTTAGTAACTTACAATTCTGTGGTAACGAATGTCTTCATGGCACTTAAAAACATCGCAGCGATAACATGACGCATGCGTGTGACGGGTGTGTTCCGACGACCTTTTTAGAGTTAGGAATTTCGAAAATTGACTTTTAACAACCCACCGACATCTTACCTAATGATTGGAATTCTAAAGCCTTTTTATTTACACTTTTTCTCTCAACCAGGAAAAAGGCCTGTGTCATATCAACACTTATCTAGCAACATGCTGCAAAAGAGAAACTATGAGAATTTTATTGGGAACGCACATTATCGACCAAATGACAAAAAAACTTGACTTCCTATTTTGGGGAAGAAAGGTGAGCATATGTAATGCATTGATTTTATTGAGTTGAAAATAAACCATCTATCCAATATAACATAAGTTAGAATTGCTTTTTATTTTCATTTGTCTTTTTAGGTATTTTAAAACTTAAGAGTACTCAAGATAGAAACAGTAAATAGCAACTGGAAGTGACTAAGCATTTATGTTCTGCCAGGCATTGAATGAAATGGTTCATAACCACGGCCTTATTTAATCCTTCTCCCACTAGGGGGCTGTAGCTCAGATTAACATTGTTCTCTGCTTGTGTTGTCAGTAAAGTTCTGTTGGCACCTGGCCATGTCCTCGTTACCTGTTTATCTGTGGCTGCAGAGTTGGGTAGTTGTGACAGGATCGTATGGCCTGCAAGGCTGGAAATATTTACCATCTGGCCCTTTTACAGAAAAAGTTTTCTGACCCCCAGGTCAGGATGTCCTGTACACACTTCACAGGTGAGGAGGCCGACACTTGGATTATGTCACTTGCCAGCGCGCCACTCTGCCTGGTTTTCGTCCTAGCTCTGCATGGTCCCCAGCCTGTGTCCCAGCCTTCCGTTAAGACCTTATTCAGACCTTTGTACATCTTTGTTGGGCGAGGGGAGGTTTATTTTGGCTTTTTGGTTCACGTGGCACGTGTGTCTGACCGGAGAGTAACCCCAGAAGATTCAAGCAAGTGTCCTCAGTGCTGCGCACCTGTATGTAAGTTACGCTAGGACTCACGTGACACACATTGAAGGGACAGCTCCAGGTCTCTCCAGCTAACCCGTCCTGTCAGGCCACCACCGCGTATTCATGGCGCAGTCCTGCTAGACGCAGTGCCTGCTACATCTAGATACGGAGATGGGATACGCGTGGCTCAGGACAGGATCTCTCCTTCCGGTTTCCGCGGGGATCCACGTGGGCCCACTGGCCACGTGCAAGTCTCCGGACTGGCAGACCGTTAGTGACAGACTGGCTTGTGCACAGTGACACCCAGCCCGTCACTGGCCTCTTCTGCCACCCCCGGGCTTCTCTGCTGGCCTTTCCTTCTGCTTGCAACCTCCTCCTGCACCCTCTTTGTCAGGCCTTTATGATACTTCAGGACCAGCTCACCTGTCATTTCTGTAGACGTTCGCTGGGAGCTAGGGGCTTCCCATCGTGCCTCTCTGCACGCGTGGGTCAGACCCATTTCCGCCCGTCCCGCCTGCGTGTCCGACTTCCGCCACTAGCCGAGCTTGGAGGAGAGGCCTTCATTCAATGCCTAGCCCACTGCTGGGACTATCGTTGATACGCGATAGGTGTTGGCAGAACCAGTAACGTTGTAAATGTTTTATGCATCCTCCCGGAGGGAGGTTATTCTAAGTCATTTGTTAACTACTCCTGGTCCATGCCGTACCTTTTCCTTTCATAAGGTTTAAACTTCCATAGTTTCTTGGAGGTGGCAGTTGGCTTTGCCAGACTCACTGTCACTGATACCGATTCTGATTCTTGGTTAAATCATCTTCGTTAAAACAAGGTCAAGTTTATGTTACCATCACAGTCCTATGGCATTGTGTGTTTAGTCTCCTGATAATTTCATTGCAAAATTCAAGCTTCAATGGAATCTATTTAAATTTCTTTAGTTTTTTTTTTTTTATTATACATTTTTTAATAAAAAGATCTTTCTAAATTCTTTTCGGTTTTATATTAATCACTTTTTAAACCTTTTTTCCCTCCTTAGGTCTTGATGGATGTGTGTACTCCGTGAAATTTAGTTCATCCTTTGAAAAAACGAATGGTGAAAGCTACTGAAATAAGCTGTGATTGTACTGTACATTATAACATAAGGAACACTACAGTTTTGTAAAGTTCTGTTAACTTTTGTATCAAATAGCAATAAAAAAACTATAGTTGGAACAGTTGGGTTATAAACAAATGGAGACTGGAAATCTCTATTTTGTCCCTGAATAATATTTTTTTTAGAATTGACCAAATAAGAAGTGGATTTTTTTTTGCATACTTGAGCGCTGCTGAAAAAAAATCATTTGGGTTGGGGGGCGGGGTGGGGAAAAAGTATATAATGCTTGCACCTCAGGTAAAAATCTGTAAATATATAAGTGGTAAACCTGCTTGTTTAAATGCCACGTGTATTCTTTTCCTCTCATGCAGCTCATCACTTTGAGCAGTTTCTATTTGTGCTTTCATTTAAAAAGTACGTTTTTAAAAATTTTTTCTCAATGATTTGTATTATGTTAAATTGTCCGCAGTCTGTTGTTGTCTTAAAGTTGTTAATGGAAGTATCGACTCTATGAATATGTGCTGCGTACATTGAGGTCAGCCATTCAGAATTCGGTGCCCTGTTATTACAAGTCTCAGTGTGTCGGCTGAGGAGGCGCCCAGGGCCATGGCCCTCTGCCGAGGGCTGGTTCGTGGGACTTTTACGTGCGTGTGTCCACAGAGAAGCATTTCCTCTGTGGAGCAGCCAGCTATCCAGTAAACATACCAAGTCGTATGTGAAGTTACTCAATTTCCTACCAAATTAATCATTTTTGTTGGTAAATTCAGTTTTTTTTGGGGCGTGTGTTCGCCTAAACTAGTAGATAAAAATATGAATGCTAAATTATACATGTGAATTACATACATTGGAAGCAATTTTAAAGGAAAATGAAAGTTTCGGGGTAGATTTTAGGTTTGTATTTGGAAGTGTTGGTGTGTCTGCATCTGAGTTGCTAGTGGACATGCTCAGGTGAGACACGTTGATTCTGAACAAGGAGCTGCTGGCCGAGCGAGCCTTCTGGTGACTGGGGAAGAGGTAATCTGTTTCGAGACCTCATCTGTCTTCCCAGTTTTGTTTGTTTTGAAGCGTTTTCTCAGTACACTTTCAATTTGGGTTTTGAAGTGAGGATAGCCACCACTTGGCTTACTAGCTGTTTTAAACTTTTGTTCCCTGAATTTGCTGTCCACGGCTGAGTTTCTTCAATAGACTCTAGGTTTAGCAACCACAAAACATTTTATTAAGACAACTGTTTCAAAAATAAATTTGCACTGTTAATTTTTCTTGTCTCGCCCTTCTCTAGTAGAGCAAGGGTCGAGTCCTAAAAGAACCCTGATCTTTTGTTTTGTTTTCTGTTTTCATTATGCAACGTGAAGCATACTTGACGGAGAAGTCTTAACCTCCCGCGTGAGAGGGAGGCCTAATTTTGAGATCGGTCTGCTGGCATCGCAATGAAGTGCTTTGTATCAGGAAATTGTACACTATTAACCTTTTTTCCTGTTCACAAGCTGAGCCATATGTACATAATCTAGATCTTTTGTTTTCATAGTTTTGCACTTTTATAGCATATTTTTGAAGATGAACACATTTGCAAGATGATTGGCTTGATCGTTGCCTGATCCGATGAGTGTTACAGAAAGCTTGCTCTGACTATAAACGTAAATCTTAAAAGGGGATACGTGATAATAGAGGGCTGAAATTTAAACTCGTGTTTAAAAAAAAAAAAAATCACCAAATCTATTTGAAAATAAGTCAGTTCGTGTTACGCTGAAATTTTGGGGGCTTTCATATTTCTCCTTTCTAACCACATTACTGAATGCATAAAAGTAACCAGGTTTTTTTTTGTTTTTTGTTTTTTTTTTTACAGCCCTTGTACTTCAGAATGTTTTTCCTTTTTGTCCATCAGTATTAACTATTGGGATACTACTGGTTTTATATGTTTTTTTTTTCTTTGAGACAACAGTACATATAATAGAGGTACAATCTGTTGGATTTTTGTTTATGTATTTATTTCATTCCAGTTTGATTTATTTTAATTGTTGATACTTAAGTTGTCAAACAGTAGACATTACTTGTTTTATTTATGATATATTTCAGCTTAAAGTTATGTTATTATATGTGGATGTAAATATAGATTTGGTGTTTTGCATCCTTGGGTTTGGCTCTTTATTGTGTTCCTGATTTCTGATTCTTATTATTTTATAATTATAACCTTAAACATGCACGATAACAGAGAGATGGGTGTGATGATCGCCCCTGTCCTTGTCAGCCACAATTTGCGTCCTTCTGCAAATCCCCCCTTAGTATTTTAAAGGCGTGGTTTAATTTCATTCCTAAAATACTTAAGTGCATCTCTCTTAACAGATAAGGGCTTTTTTACGATCACACCAAGCTAAATGGACTGATTTCTCGCAGCCAGCCTCCGTGTCTGCATTTCTGGGTTTTCTCAAAAATGTCTTAGGGGTGGTAAGTTGCAGTCGGGATGCAAACAACATTGGCTTATTTTCGGGTTTCTTAATGTTTCTTAAGCCTGTTTTAATTTAAACCTCCCTTCCCCCACACACATCAAGACGGTTTATTTTTTGAAGAAACTGAGTCATTCGTCCGATAGAAGTTGTCGCATTCTTGATTGGGTTTCTTGCGTATTTGTGGTTTCATCTAACCTGTTTTTCTAGCCTCTATATGTCCTAAAACCTAGTAAATTACATCTAGAGGTTTAAAGTAGAGTCGAGTTCAGTTTTGGGGAAGAGGCAGGCTGTGTAGTGTACTTCCCGTGGCATCACCGTACACACACAGTATTTGGCTTTCTAACCTCCAGTGGTGTTGAGTTTGATCCGTGGGTTCAGATGTCACACTAACCAGCCATTTTAAAGTTCCCCATCAGCCTTTCTTTGGGTTTTAGTAGCCATTGATGAACATTAGGGATGTTACAAAGGTGTTTTTTTCCCCAAAGTTCTGTCATTCTTTCTCCATAAAGCAGCGGTCCCCAACCTTTCTGGCATCAGGGACCGGTACCTCTGAGAATCTAATAATGCCTGATGATCTGAGGTGGAGCTGAGGCGGTGATGCTAGCGCTGGGGAGCATTTGCAGATACAGATGAAGCTTCGCTCGCTCACCCCATCACTCACCTCCTGCCGTGCAGCCCGATTCCTAACAGGCCATGAACCAGTACCAGTCTGTGGCCTGGGGGTTGGGGACCCCTGCTATGAAAGAGACCTCACTTGTGATTGTTGGTTACCTTGAAATACAGCTTAAACAAGAAGGGGTAAACCTTGATTTTCCTTGGTTAACCAGCATCGGGAATAACAAGTTGGTGCCCAACATCTTCCAGACACGACTGGTGAATGAACTTTGAAATTTTTTGGCATGAACTTGTTAGACATGTGATGCGTTTTAACCAGTTGCAGGCATCATTTGATGCTGAGTCTCCTGTCTCTGGCCCACAGGGGCTCTGAGCTGGCCCTGCGTTTGGGACGACACAGTTTGAAGGCTTCTTAGCTTTTAGCCACGACGAGACGAGATATTGTGAGCTCATCTTGAACATTTCTTGACTCAGACCTGGAGACTTATTTCTCCAAGTGTCCAGAGTTCCTTTTATGGGAAATGGTGTTTTGTGGGTAAGGGGTGATCATTACAACTGGGTTGCTTCAGCTCCTAGGCTTGCTTTCTCCATGTAGAGAACTACCTCCATGAATTATACAATTTTCTAATTCAAATTAAGATTTTAAGATGTTTTCACTTTGATTTTACCTCCATAAAATAAGATTAGTCATAGACTCTCAAAAATCCCTTTTAATTTGGAATCTATCCTAGACTCACACACACATATGTATATATGTATGTATATATGTGTGTGTATATATGTATGTATATATTTTACAAAAACAAATACCTCCATGAATTACACAGTTTTCTAATTCAAATTAAGATTTTAAGATGTTTTCACTTTGATTTTAAATTCAATTTTTCTGAAAACCTGGGTTCTTGCTGATACATGACTTACCTACCTTATCCTACTATATGTAACAAATCACAATGCCAGTATCATTTACATGATTACTAAGCAAAGTGTCCAAGAAATTTTTTAAAAATAATTTTGCTTCTTTATAGTGGTGGTTCTTAACTTGTAGCCCCAGAGCAGCAATATCACCACTGGAAAACTGTTAGAAATGCAGATTATCAGGTTCACCCGGACCTGGGGGCAGGGGCCAGCGTTGTGATGCCTTCCAGCGTTCACTGGTCTCTGCTGAGTAAACTCGTGTAGTATGGAGTCAAGTCACTCCCGGGGGTTGGCATGGCGACGATGTCTGGACTGTTAGAGGCATTTTCCATCTGGACACTCTGCTTCGCTCCTCCCCTTTTCAGTATAATTTTATGTAAAACATAGTTTCATCAAAAGTACGAAACCAGATATATTCAGAGACTTCTAGCTTTTCATCCTTTTCTCCCTGTTCCCCTCCCTTCTATGAAGTAACCATTTTAAAAAATGAGTTTTTGCTTTATCCCTCCGTCGTGTCTTTTTGGAAGGACGAGTGTATACTCAGGAAATTCACATCCCCTATATCGAAAGCGCACCATACACATTAGTGCAGGCAGATTTTAGGACTGTTTCATTTTTTCTTAGAAAAGTGCACACTTTTCTCCTGAAAAAATGACTCTGACAAATCTCACCTGGAGAGGTAAAAGTGGGCGCGCTCTGCCCGGTTTTATTTATTGGGCACGTAGTTGCTGAACCTCCTGAGGGCTGGTGCCAGGTGCTGGAGTCCTGCCTCTCGGGCACCCAGCTTCCGATGCCGACCCTCGTGGGGTGCCGAAGACGCGCCGAGGCCTGTGATGACACGGGGAGTGTCCGCTGGGTGGCCACGTCAGGCCAAGTTCCAAGCAGAGACCTGGAAGCTTCCCCCGGCCCTCTTCCCTTGTTTCTTAGGCAGCCACAGGGGCTTGGTTTTCCTTCTGGAAACTTCTAGGCACCATTCTCTTTCAGCAGTGGGGTCTTTTTGCCGTTTCGAACCTGGTAACACTTATCTTGGGTAATGCACATTAAAATAAAGTGCTCACGTGTCCCCCGGCCTCGAAGCCTGTCCAGCCCTTTCTGTCTCTGCATTGGGCGTGGGTTTTCTTCCTAGCCCTCAGCTCCACCTGCCAGCACAGCCTGCACTGGTTTGCCAGTGTCCCCGCTGAAGGTGAGCCCCCTGAGGGCAGAAACATGTTTTATCTGTGCATCTCCTGGGCTTAGTGCGGGGCTCGGCGCTCTTCATGTTTGTCGCTAGGATGGATGGCCGGATGGATAGAGAGATGACTGTATGTGGTTTATGCTAGCTTAGCAATTCATTAACGACAGAGGTGGTCTAGAATTATCTGAGAATGACTGCATACCTTCGAGATTACTCAATTACTCCAGGTAAGCATGTCCATCATCCGTAGCACTAAGTGGGATGCACGCTCAACACACGTTACTTTATTATTCCTGATGCATCATCACATCAAGTGAAGGGAGTTTCACATGGGGAGAATGCGTGGGTCTGGCCGGTATTTTAGAAGAATCAAAGGTAGCCGGGATTGGGAGTATTTCGGTCTGAAGTGGGGGTGAGGGTGCTGGAGGTGGCTGGAGGGCAGAGTTTGATAATCAGATGATAGGACATTAGAGATACAGGAATAACCTCATTTTATTGCATTTCACCAATATTATGTTCTTCGTTTTTAAATTTTTTTACAAATTGAAGGTTTGTGGCAACACGGCGTTGAGCAATCCTATCGGTGCCGTTTTCCCAGCAGGCTCAGATGACGGTTAGCATTTTTTTAGTGATATGTTTAAATTAAGATATGTACCTTTTTTAGACATACCGCTATTGCACACTTCATAGACTGCGGTATAATGTAAATACCACTTTTATATGCCCTGGGAAACCAAAATATTTGCATGGCCTGCTTTGTTGCGACACTCGCTTTGTCGTGGTGGTCTGGAGCCAGCCCCGCAGTACCTCAGAGGCGCGCCTGCACTGCTGGGTGTGGGTGGTGTTCACGTCTGAGAACGTTTAGACATTCTCAAGCCGCCTATGTACAGAAAAAGTTTTCCTTGGTTCATGCCAGTCCAAGTGTCACTCATCATAGGAAAGGTTTACATAAAAAATATGGCCATTCTTAAAACTTTTGGCTTCAGAATCCCTTTACACTCGTACAAAGTGGACCTCAAAAGTTTTTGTTCATGTGGGTTATGCCTATTGTGTGGCCTCTGGAAGGCCCCACGCATGAGAGAATGAGAAGGTGAAAATCAAATAGCTTCCTTTTGACCCTTGGACCCCTGAGGCATCTTGGAACTTTCAAAGGTCCCTGGACCACACGGTTAGAACTTGTGGAAATGTAGAATGATTGAGGGCTTTATAGGGGACGGTGTTTGGCACTTCTTATTGGTTCCATTAAGTAAAAAACTAACTTTGCACCAAAGGACCAATATTGTATGATTCTACCACTTAGATGAGGTACCCAGAATAGTCCAATCCATAGGGACAGAAAACAGGATGCTGGTTGCTAGGAGCCAGAGGTAGGGTTGGAGGTGGGGAGTCAGTGTTCCATGGGGACTGAGTTTCGGTTTGGAAAGATGAGAAACTTCTGGAGATGGATGGTGGTGATGATAGCACAATGACGGGAATGTACTTAATGCCACGAATTGCACACTTAAAAATGGTTAAAGTGGCACATTTTATGTATATTTTACCACATTCCCCAAATCCCTAATTTAAAAATTACAAGCGTAATCTATATGTCTCTCTATAAAAAAGCAAGCCTCCACTAAATCTCTAGTGTGGAAAGTGAAATTTCCCTCCTAAACATAACTACCTTGAATAGTTCAGAATCTGTGTGTCTTCTGATTTTTCTCTACACCCACATTACTATTTATTTGTTACTGTTACCAGAACGAGATTCTTCTGTAGCCTTTTGAAAATTGCTCTGCCTCCTGACTTAGTATATGCGCTTATGTATTATCTTAAGGTAAACAAATTTGGGCGATCCTTTGTTGAGATGAGGCTTGAATTACGTGGCTTCAAATGGTGTTGGGGCTTCGGGTTTTCTTCCCTTAAAAAACAGATAATACCATATGTCTTATCTTAAGGTGGACGATTTATTCTCACCATTTTACGGATGAGCCA